TGTCATCATGATTGTGAAGGTTGTGTTGGTGTTTTCATAACCCCTTACCCTTCTTAATTTCTTCAATTGAAATTTTGTCTTCAAGATTTTAGCCCAGGAGATTTGTTTTACAAAAGTCTAAAACAGTTTAATATATTTTTAATTTCCCAGAGTGAAAGAAGTTGATGATTTCAGATGCTTTTTATCATTTCAAAGAGGCACCAGATGTAAACTGAAATTGTGCAGGATATTTCTTTATATTGTATATTATTAATTATAGGGGAGAAACTCAAATAAAAATGTCAGGTTTCAGAGTAGCAGCCGTGTTAGTCTGTATTCACAAAAAGAAAAGGAGTACTTGTGGCACCTTAGAGACTAACCAATTTATTTGAGCATAAGCTTTCGTGAGCTACAACTCACTTCATCGGATGCATTTATATGCTCAAATAAATTGGTTAGTCTCTAAGGTGCCACAAGTACTCCTTTTCTTCAAATAAAAATGTATTTTTAACAATATGGTTATGAGCCTGCTCCCTGTGTAATAAAATAAACAGATTTTTTAACTCCTTGGGCTAGTGTATATATGTGAGAGTCAGATGAATAGAGCTACATGATTAAGCAGAATGTCTTGGATAAATCCACCATGGAGGGCTAAATACTTATTTATCCAATAGACAGGGGTGAAAGTAATTTAAAGGACTTACCGGTACTCTGGAGTCCTGAGAGGGGGCGTGGCCTCAACTGGAAGAGGCGTGGCCTCAGCTGGAAAAGGCGGGGCCGAGCCCTTTAAATCGCCCCCAGAGCTACCAGCTGCAGAAGCAGCTGGGAGCCCCAGGACTCAGAGGCGATTTAAAGGGCTCCAGCTGCCGCTACCACAGTGGAGCTCCGGGCCCTTTAAATCACCGCCGGAGCCCTGCTGCCGCAACCCTGGGCTCCAGCAGCTGGGAGTGCTTTAAAGGGCCTGGGGCTCCCCGCAGCAGCCGGAGCCCCTGGCCTTTAAAGCGCCGCCGGAGCCCTGCTGCCACTACCCCCGGGGCTCTGGCAGTAGGGCTCTGGTGGCTCTTTAAAGGGCCAGGGGTTCCAGCCTCTGCGGGGAGCCCCAGGCCCTTTAAAGCGCTAGCCGGGGGAAGCCGGTCCAGTCCAGCACGGCGTATTGGCTCTTGCCAGTACGCCAGACCGGTCCAGACCGGACTGGCTTACTTTCACCTCTGCCAGTAGACTGTATCTGTTTTAAAGGCACGTGATGTAACTTTAAATATCTGTATTTTTATATGTGTTTATACCCTTTTTCTTACCCTGCACTGGGTAAAAAAGGATTTGTATAAAAATACATAAAATTTGCATAAAAATATATGTAACCGAATAGATGCTGTGCCTTTAATTCTAAATATATGTTTTATATTTAACTTAACAACTGGTTTGTTGAAAAGACTGGGATGGCTCCCCATGACAACATGGACCTCTGCCCTCTGTCGTAGACTTTATTATTGTTACATTGCACATCTGGGAGTCGTCGGCTATGTATTCCTGCCTTTTGTGTTCAAATTGAATTTCCAAATGTAATGGATAAATGAGGCCTTTGCAGTCATAAGAAAAAGGACAAATTTGGAAAACCCCTTTTGGTGTGTGTGCTTTGAAATGATTTAGACCAAAGCAAATTCCCAATTTTATTTTGCCTCCCCCCTAAAAATATTCACTAAATTCTCCAGTATCTTTAGCTGACTCAGTAAATTAACTTTGGTGAAGAATAAATTATTTATTTTTGTCATTAAATATTCTACATGCAGTTTCATTTTGTTTATCATAGGACGTAGTGGATTGTTTTTCTAGTGAGTGAAAAGCAACAAACATTAATTAGCACCCTGATGTATATGAGTGAAGAGGAAAACCTAAAGTTCAGTGAACTGCTTATACAGGTACATACAGTCTCACATGGTTGAATAGCTAGAAGCCTTGTGCCACCTTGTGGCAGTCACACCAAACAGAACTGTAGAGCTGTAAGCCCGATAAACACACTGGCTGCACCGTAGAATAATATTAGAACCTTAGTGATTTAGACCCTACTAATTTTGTTTTGGAGATAATTTCGTTTGCTGGACTTAGATGTAGACAATGGATACTCCTAAAAATCCAGTAAACTTGATATGCATCCGATGAAGTGAGCTGTAGCTCATGAAAGCTTATGCTCAAATAAATTGGTTAGTCTCTAAGGTGCCACTCGTACTCCTTTTCTTTTTGCGAATACAGACTAACACGGCTGCTACTCTGAAACTTGATAATACTGGAATTCTTATATCTGTATCAGATATGTGAAACAAGGTCAGAATTAAACAAGCAATTAAGCAAGTGCTAAAAAGAAAATAATATGGCATTAGTGGCTTTTCCACTCCTTTCCCCCCCTGATTTAGGGATAGCAACTAATTATCTATTTGGATACCTAGAGCAACAGTCACAAAAGCCTGAATGACTAGGCCTGATACTTATACCAATGGTTAGAGTTAATATTTACATGCTGAGACATTTCAGAATTACTGAAAATGAGAAAAACCCTGCTTATTTATTTTCTAGTTTAAAGGTCAATTGAAAATGAAATTTTGATTGTAAAAATAGCCTGACCTTCAATGTTAACAATCCTGAATCGTGATTTGTGTGTGCGCACATATGGCAAATCAGAATATTGGCTCTCTGAAATGTCCTAGTTCTTCTGTTACTATATAAGCAATAGAAGAGAGGGTTTTATAAAAGGAAGTGGCTGTCTACACTGTGACACCCACAAAAATTAATATGCAGTAATTGAAGGTGTGAATTTGAAGTGGATTAGTTAAACTGTATTTAATCCCTGCATGATGCTTTTATTCAGAATTAAAGTGGCCTTGAATCACTTTCAGAGTGAGTTAAAGTAAACTGAATTAAGGCCACTTTAATTCTGGGATGTATTAGCAGGAGTGTTGTAAGCAAGACACGAGATGTAATTTTTCCAATCTACTCCGTGCTGGTTAGGCCTCAGGTGGAGTATTGTGTCCAGTTCTGGGCGCCACATTTCAGGAAAAATGTGGACAACTTGGAGAAAGTCAAGAAGAGCAACAAAAATGATTAAAGGTCTAGAACACATGACCTATGAGGGAAGATTGAAAAAATTGAGTTTGTTTAGTCTGGAAAAGAGAAGACTGAGAGGGGACATGATAACTGTTTTCAAGTACATACAAGGTTGTTACGAGGAGGAGGGAGAAGAATTGTTCTTAACCTCTGAGGATAGGACAAGAAGCAATGGGCTTAAATTACAGCAAGGGAGGTTTAGGTTGGACATTAGGAAAAACTTCCTAACTGTCATGGTGGTTAAGCACTGGAATAAATTGCCTAGGGAGGTTGTGGAATCTCCATCATTGGAGATTTTTAAGAGCAGGTTAGACAAACACCTGTCAGGAATGGTCTAAATCAGGGGTTTTCAAGCTTTTTCTTTCTGAGACCGCACCCATCCCTCCCACAACATGCTATAAAAACTCCACAGCCCACCTGTGCCACAACAACTGTTTTTCTCCATGTAAAAGCCAGGGCGAGCATTAAGGGGCAGGAAGCAGGGCAATTTCCTGGGGCCCTACGCCACAGGGGAAACCGTAAAGCTACATTGCTCAGGCTTTGTCTTCAGCCCCAGGTGTTGGGGCTTGCAGCCACAGGCTGTGAGTCTAATGCCAGCCATGCTTGACGGATACCCTGGTTGAGAACCACTGGTCTAGATAATACTTAGTCCTACCATGAGTGCCGGGGCCTGGACTAGATGACCTTTCGAAGTCCCTTCCAGTCCTATGATTCTATGAATGAGGGTGTTCAGACAGAAGTTTGATGTGGTTTAATTAATCCACTTCAAATTCACATTTTTAGTTAATTTGGATTATTTTCCTAAATCACTTTTTAAAATGGGATGTACTCTTCCAACTGACTTAGGGCCCTTCTGAAATTTTTCTCCTAGCTGCCAGCTCCACCTGAGATACTGAAGGGCAAGATACTTCTTACATAACTGATGGAATGTTTAAGGTGAATCACTTTGGGGGAATTATTTTACACTTCCCAAGTGTGCTAGGCTCCTTACATTGCAGATAAAATGGTCCCTGCTCCAAAGAGCTGACAGTCCAAGTGCAGACATGATGCAACAAAGGAGGTGACAAAGCAGCAGAGAAAGAGGATTGGTGAGGAAGGAGAGGGATTACAGCAATACGATTATGCAGTCACTATGGTAAGGCAGGTCACCTCACAGCAGCATGTATGTTTAGTTAAATGAATAGAAAAATGAATTTAATTCCTGTCTCCCTTCTTGTGGTCCTTGCAATATCAGGAGGTTTTCCTGAAGAGAGGGTAGTACCCTGGGAGTGAATTCTGAGAGCAGGAACCAGCATAGAGATGGAAAAGCAGGCTGATGAAGTATCAAGACTGGCGTCATTAGTGGGGGAAAGGTGACAAAGATGCAGTGAGATTATGTAGGCAGAGGCAGAGTTATGGAGGGCATTGTAAATGAGGCTAAATTTAAACATGATGCAGTGGATATGGGGGAGACAGTAGAGGAGTTCAAAAAGGCAAGTGACCAGTCAGATTGATGGGCAAGAAGACTATTTTTAGAGGCCATGTTTTGTATGGATTGTAAAGGAGCAATGTTGGAACAAGAAAGCCAGAGAGAGGTGGTTGATGCAGGAATTGAAATGGGAAGTGCTAAGGGCCTGGAAATGACACGGGGTTTATATGAACCACATGTACAGTGTTTTACTTTCCCTTCACTCCGGTGTGTATGTTTTAGCAAAAATTAACGGGGGGAAAAAGAATGCTACAACTAGATTTGTGACGTGGGAGTGCCGGTCTTCTGTATTTTTGTGCTTAGAATTATTTTTTAGTGCCTTTCACCTTCCTTTGCCAAACTGTTTTTTAGCCTTGTAGAATGAATCCTACATGAAGATTAGGGCTGAGATGAACCTAGAGCTTAAATCTGTGCTACTGAATGCCTTTCACACAGTGTTGTCTTTTGTCCATTGTAGGTATGGAGAGTGCAATCACACTGTGGCAGTTCCTATTGCAATTGCTGCTGGATCAGAAACATGAGCACCTGATCTGTTGGACATCCAACGATGGGGAATTCAAGCTACTCAAAGCAGAAGAGGTGGCCAAGCTGTGGGGGCTCAGAAAAAACAAAACTAATATGAATTATGACAAGCTGAGCAGAGCACTCCGATACTATTATGACAAGGTAAACATGGTTAATCTGAAGCAGATTAAGAAAACAGAAGCAAAACCGAATGGACTAATTGAGAGATGCAAATAATATTTTACCTTTATGTAGATGCTTTCATTCTTAAAGATCCCAAAACAAAATTTATAAATAGAGCACCATTGAAGGCAGCCACCTCTGGGTGGAGTGACAACTAATCGGCACTCAGTAAACCACTGCACAATACTAGAGTGAGGGAGGAGGAGAAATTTTGGCCAACACCCTCTGTAACTGTTGACAACAATGAAATGGCTGTTTATTATAAAGAGAGACTGGTGATCACAGCATATTTAGGACTTTCTCCAATGAAGATCAGTGATGGAGCGTAGCAATGCTGTAATTATAACAGTTATAATAGTGGCTTCACTGCCAGGCTAACTTTAAAAATGGTGAACACACACACACACACACACACACTCTCTCTCTCTCTCTCTCTCTCTCTCACTTTAAACATTGAGGTTAAGATTTTCAAAGCCAACTGAGGGACACACATGGTTGAGACACACATGAGGTTTTTGGGCAATAATTTGATAGTCTCACCCTATCATTTCTACAAAATGTTTTGAGTTTAAGAACTGCCAGTGACAGTGTGCAGTAAATGGCAAGTCATAAAGGGCATGATATAATGACCACTGAAATCAATGACGGGAGGGTGTCTTTCAATTCACTTAATAGATTGGGCCCTAATTCTTTTGGTTTGCAATGCAGTGAACATTAATCTCTTGAAACACTTTTAGAATGCCTGTGGCTATGCTATTGTACTGCACAGGAGTTTCATTGTAATTGTCCACTAATGAATGCCCACTTTTTCTTAAGTAGTATTTACATTTTATGTAAAATCATCTTGTGAAACTCTGTGTTGATTTAAGTAATAAGCTAGATTACATGTTGGTTGTAATTTGGTTATAAAACAGACATAAGTGGTAAAGTACTGCAGCATGCACCAATCTGACATTTTTATGGATGTGCAGAACAAGTGTAATTTACAACAAGAAAAGCAACTAACAGCAAGGTGCATTGTTGTTGTTGTTATTAGTATTATGTAACACCTGCGAGCCCCAGTCATAGCCCATTGTGCTATGCACTCTACAATAACAGAACAAAAAGACAGAGCTTTGTAAGATAAAACATGTATGAGCAGGTGGTGTTCTCACCCCATTCCAGGTAAAGCCTGAACAAGCTGCAGACTGTGAAACTTACTCCCATTCCCAATGTTATCTTTAGTGATCTCCCACATCACAATGACAGAGCATAAACCTCAGTCCAAGCTTCCTGCTCAAAGTCTAGCTGTTCCTAGGGTTTCTTGCACATTCTCTCTATCTCTGCTTCTCGTTCGCTCTGAACAGAGAGTCACATCCTCCTCTTCTATATTCTGGTAGAATTAACTATGTAAGATGAGTCAGCAGAATTTACATTGAAGCTTTATGCAAGGCTCTAACTTTTGATAAGAGGGTGGGTTAACAGAAGTGTAGGCGCCAACTCCCTGGGTGCTCTGGGGCTTGAGCACCCACGGGAAAAAAATAGTGGATGCTCTGCACGCACTGGTGGCCCTGCCGATGAGCTCTTCCCTCTCCCTCCCAGCATCTCCAGCCTGCGGTGGATCAGTTGTTCAGTGGCGGGCAGGAGGCGCTGGAGAGGGGAGGGGGCAGAGTGAGGGCGGGGGCAGAACGGTGGCAGGGCCCGGGGTGGAGCCTGTGAACAGAAGAGCTTTGCATCCATTTGCAGAATCCCAGAACCTTTCATTCTAGTATGACTACAGCTTTCCCGGCTTTACCAATCATGCTTTTCCTGCTAGTCCCCCATCACATATGAAATTATGCACTTATGACGTTTACTCCATGCACTTGCTCATATGTGCTTACTTACCAACTTACATCATTTACCTTCCTACTGGATTTGATCCAAAGATTTCTATGGATGTGGCATCCACTTACATACGACTTAGATTTTGCGCTTTGTATCTGTGCTGGAAATTCAGTGACCTTATTGAGTATAATACGTTCCGGTTGACAGCTGGTATGTATTTATGCTATTCTGTAGTGTATGTCAACATCCCCAGAGGTCAGCTTCACACAGAGAATGTAGGCATAGATTTGGCCCGGTGTTCTCACTGCTGATAATGTGCCAAAATATCTGCTGGGTAGCTTCATCTACGGATGTTTTTCAACCACTCTGTCAAAATGAAATCCTAAATAGAAACATCTTGGTTATTGTTACTTGGAGTTATTTAGAGCTTTTAAGATCAGACAGGCACAGTTTTAGCCTCTTTTTAAGGAGTTCTGAGCACTCACCGACTCAGGTAAGATCAATGGGAGCTAAAGATGTTCAGTACCTCTGAAAACCATGCCACTTGAGTATATTGGGAAGGTCATAAGGTCAACATTAGGGGTAAATGGTGCCACAGAAAGTACTTTATTGGCCTTTCGGTTGGTGTCCAGTCTAGTCATCCACTTTCTTGGGTTAAGTAAGATGTGGCAGCAGTAGACTAAAGTATGTGGAGATAAAGAATACAGAGGGTAACACCGAATTTGTATTTGATAAACTGAGTATAGCACAGGGATGAATGCTTGAGGGGAACTCTCATATGTGACGAGATACTAGAAAGATAAATTACAGGAGGACTTATTGCACAGCACAACACTGGAGGCATTAAAATATCTAGTACAATTCCCCTATCTGGATGTTAGACTACTGTTTTTCCAGCTACTCTTGGATTACTATTAATTGTATTATTTCAGGATCATTGTTCTTTATATGACTAAATTATTGATTTTTACAGTGGGCTCATATTTATTATTCTTACTGTTTTGTACAATCTTTGCAAAAACAGGGTTAATGCTAATTTTAATTTGTTTTTTTTTAAAAAGTATAGTTATGCTTATTGGTCTGTTCTCATCTTGATTTTCCAGGAGCTAAATGAGATGAGATTATACCCTGCAGTGACTAACACTAAAATTTAGCATGATTATGGTAGGTTTGCATGCTACACATGGCAGGATAAATTAGACTAATTTATTGCCGAATTGAGCTCAAAGTATAGTTGTCCTTTATTATTTGTGTTACACTAACCCCTAGGGAGTCCCCCTTGTGTTAGGTGCTGTGCAAGCAGAGTTAACATAACATCCAAAAATCCAGTCACTGCACATGAAATCAAATTCTTTTCTATGTATTGAACAGGATTTGGTAGATTGATATTTTTGTTGTTGCCTAAACAAGAACTTTGAAAACTCATGGCAATCGGGAGAGGTCCCGGAAGACTGGAAAAAGGCTAATGTAGTGCCCATCTTTAAAAAAGGGAAGAAGGAGGATCCTGGGAACTACAGGCCAGTCAGCCTCACCTCAGTCCCTGGAAAAATCACGGAGTAGGTCCTCAAGGAATCAATTCTGAAGCACTTAGAGGAGAGGAAAGTGATCAGGAACAGTCAGCATGGATTCACCAAGGGCAAGTCATGCCTTACTAATTGCCTTCTATGATGAGATAACTGGCTCTGTGGATGAGGGGAAAGCAGTGGACGTGTTGTTCCTTGACTTTAGCAAAGCTTTTGACACGGTCTCCCACAGTATTCTTGCCAGCAAGTTAAGGAAGTATGGGCTGGATGAATGGGCTATAAGGTGGATAGAAAGCTGGCTAATTGTCGGGCTCAACGGGTAGTGATCAATGGCTCCATGTCTAGTTGGCAGCCAGTATCAAGTGGAGTGCCCCAAGGGTTGGTCCTCAGGCTGGTTTTGTTCAATATCTTCATTAATGATCTGGAGGATGGTGTGGACTGCACCCTCAGAAAGTTTGCAGACAACACTAAACTGGGAGGAGCGGTAGATACGCTGGAGGGTAGGGATAGGATACAGAGGGACCTAGACAAATCAGAGGATTGGGCCAAAAGAAATCTGATGAGGTCCAACAAGGACAAGTGCAGAGTCCTACACTTGAGACGGAAGAATCCCATGCACCGCTACAGAGTAGGGACCGAATGGCTAGGCAGCAGTTCTGCAGAAAAGGACCTAGGGGTTACAGTGGACGAGAAGTTGGATATGAGTCAACAGTGTGCCGTTGTTGCCAAGAAGGCCAATGGCATTTTGGGATGTATAAGTAGGGGCATTGCCAGCAGATCGAGGGATGTGATCGTTCCCCTCTATTCGACATTGGTGAGGCCTCATCTGGAGTACTGTGTCCAGTTTTGGGCCCCACACTACAAGAAGGATGTGGAAAAATTGGAAAACGTCCAGTGGAGGGCAACAAAAATGATTAGGGGGCTGGAACACATGACTTATGAGGAGATGCTGAGGGAACTGGGATTGTTTAGTCTGCAGAAGAGAAGAATGAGGGGGGATTTGATAGCTGCTTTCAACTACCTGAAAGGGGGTTCCAAAGAAGATGGATCTAGACTGTTCTCAGTGGTAGCAGATGACAGAACAAGGAGTAATGGTCTCAAGTTGCAGTGGGGAGGTTTAGATTGGATATTAGGAAAAACTTTTTCACTAGGAGGGTGGTGAAACTCTGGAATGCGTTACCTAGGGAGGTGGTGGAATCTCCTTCCTCAGAAGTTTTAAGGTCAGGCTTGACAAAGCCCTGGCTGGGATGATTTATTTGGGGATTGGTCCTGCTTTGAGGAGGGGGTTGGACTAGATGACCTCCTGAGGTCCCTTCCAACCCTGATATTCTAGGATTCTATGATTTGAAGGAGTTATCCATCTAACAGGCTATGAAACATCTTCACTGTAGGATTTTAAAGCCATAACTACTACGATAAAAAGATGTTAGGATTTCAGTGAGATGAAGTCAGGCCCATTTAAGTTTTCTCTTCTTAAGACCTTTTGAAGGCGGCTTGGAAAGCACAAAAGGATGAACAGAAGGATATTCTATTGTAGAAGGATATGATTTTCTAACCACTCAGCATGGTGAGTTCTCTCTCACTAAGTACTAAAAGGCTCCTGCTCAGCGTGGGAAATTCACATCATTATCGGACTCCAACCTCTCGGTT